GATAATAAAATAAAGTTTGTATCTATTTATATATTTTGAATTGTACTTATTTTTAATCGACGTAAGATTTTCAATACATCTCCTCACACAGATAAAAATACATCTTGTATATGAAACTACGGATGATTCAATAGCAAATGAAACAATAGAGTGAACAAAAAATTAATTTTTCTAAGATATATTTTAATTCATGACTTTGATACCACTTTAAGAAATAAACTTTAAATCAATCTTATAAAATTAGTTAATAAAGTGAAATTTGTACTCATTTATATATTATATATTGGTTTTATATCGAATCACAGTGAAATTTCACATTCAAATATTTTTCACTATGCTTAGATGAATTTTTTTCATATTAAGTCATCTTTATGATAAAAAAAATCATTCTTTAATATGTATTACACTAAAGACATATTCTATTTTTGGTAATTTGTTATGTTATTTTTGCCTCTCTCAAATTTTGGGGATTGAATTTAGTTCCACTTAACAATCATTCTTGCTTCTTGCATTGAAGAATTATCTTCCTCAAAATGTGTATCTAAACTCGACTAAATTAACATATATATGTGAATCAAGGAAAAGAATTAAAGGATAAATCCAAAAAACAAAATTAGATATTTGAAGAGATACATATTTGAAGTCTGATGAGGTACCCTTCACATGATTTTACATTGTGCAGGTTAATACATGCATGCTTACCCCAATATCAAACAGGTTAATTAATTTGCTGTGCAGTAGCATATTTTTAAAATAAACAGAAATTAGTTGACATAAAAACATATGCCAGGAAAAGTAAATACTGAAGACCACTTGGCACTGGCGAAGAACATGTCATGTATTGGAAAACGACAGGTGAAATGGTTAAGAGAAAAGGATAAACAGCATGCAATGCAATGCAATGCAATGGAAGCTTTGAGTGAGTTGAGTGAAGTGGAGAAGCATGAAGCATAGGAGTTACTAGCTAGGCTTCTGAATCCACCTCGAAAGGCGTTCCCAGAGATAAATGGGTTGAGTTCATAATTCCAGATACCCTCCTACACTCATTGTTTCAGATTCACTTTCCCTTTCCTTTTCCACTGTTTTTCCTTTTCTTTCCATTAACTCTATCTTTCCACGAACAAATATAAAGCATATCTCTTACTCTATATATACTTGGGACCACTATCCCCACGCTCTTATCTCCTTCATCATCTCTGCCTTCAATTCGCCACTGTGGGAGAGGACTAATTAACCCTAAATTTTATCTCCCATTGTTCTTCTGACCACTCTCATGTGACAGTGGGGCTACCAATCCCTCCCTTTATTATCTCACTAACTGCTAAAATATAATTATATTCATATTCAACCCAAACAACACCAACCTACATTTCAGTAAAAAGGATCCATCCATGGCATATTTCAAGCAAGGGTTCATGCACCTTGCACCAGCATTCAACCATTATATCCTCCATCCCAGCCCTACCCCAATGCCTGTGGTCCCTCACCTTCTCATCGTCAACCATTGATCTTAAATGCTCCCAGCTTTGACAATTCTCAAAGATAAACATCAACGGTGCTCCACAAATCAACCCTTATTCCTATACCCAGCCCCACACGTCATGGGCGGTCTCCAATTAATAAAAATGTCAAGTCCATCATAGATTTTCTTCCCTTTCCATTCTTAGATAAATTTAAAAACACATTGCTCTCAACTTGCTATAAAAAGCCCTTCCATTACCTGCTGCATTGGTCGGTTAGAGAGATAATAATCCTGCACCACTTTCTGCAATCTCTGCACTCTTTTATATTATTCTCTATCTCTCTTCTGCAAAGTGCAAACCCTACTTACTTTCAAATCTCCTTCTTCTCTCCCTTCCCATACTCTGCTCCCAACTTTTCTCCCTTTCTTCCATTCCTCCGTGTCTCTCGCAGTTTCAAACTCATGGACGTGGACATACTCAAAACTTCCACGAGTGATACCAGCATGGACATGATCATGATGATGCAAATGGAAAAGTTCCCGGAGTTATGTGAGCCTTTTTATAACAACACCACTCCTCTCTACCCAGAAAACGAGTTCTTAAACTCCACCACCACCACACTGCCTGTGTTCTCCAACGTTAACCCAAACGTTATAACTCCACCCCCCACTTTGATCAATCCACCGCCACCACCTTCCTCTAATTTTGTTCTCCAACAACCCATGACACCTCCTCTACAACCCAACCCTTCGTTCTCGGAGAAGAAGAATTCCGTGGCGGCCATGAGGGAGATGATTTTCCGCGTAGCGGTGATGCAACCTATTCATATAGACCCTGAATCTATCAAGCCTCCCAAGAGAAGGAACGTGAAGATTTCGAAGGATCCGCAGAGTGTGGCAGCGAGGCACAGAAGGGAAAGGATTAGCGAACGAATAAGGATCCTTCAGAGATTAGTCCCTGGTGGGACCAAAATGGACACGGCTTCTATGTTGGACGAAGCCATACACTACGTAAAGTTCTTGAAGAAACAAGTCCAGACGCTGGAACAAGCCGGAGCAAGTAGACCCTTGAGCGTTTTTGGCTTTCCTAGTACTGTGTCCAATGCCAATAATAACGTTAATTATTCCTCCTTCATGAAGAGTTGCCAACCGTGTCATATGCTGGGTTCTGCAGCTTCTAAACACATGCTGAGTTGAGTTGAGTTGAGTTCAGAAGAACCGTTTGCTTCATACATGCATGAAAAATGAAAATCAATGAATTATATATGAGCTGTATATTGATCTTCATCATAGTTTTTTTTGTCATCGATGGTGCATGGGTTATAAAGACAGTCTTCGCCAGTGTAATTGTCGTTGTTTTAAGAATTTATTTTTCTCTTTTCATACCTAAACTGGGAAAGCAATCAATAAAACTGATATGAATGAATATCATTTTCTTCATCTTTGTTCTTTTTTGTATTTTTATCTCCTTAATTAATTTCGTTTATATCTAACGAGAACGAATGTCAGAAAAATGTTTGAATAATTTCAAGCAAATCTTGTGAATGATCTAGACTCTTTCAGCAATCACTGAAATATATAATATAATAAAATGTAAATATATAAAACAAAAGTTTGACCGATCTTGTTTTGGTCTTATAAATGCCCAACTCTAATGGGCCATTTTCGGTTTTTCGGCCATCCGTGTGTATTTTATGAGGGATCACATGCAATGGCATATGGAGGTTTACTTTAACCATAGACACTCCAATACACGGCGCAACCAGCGTGCATGCATGCATAATTATTGTTTATTTCTCATAGTAATTACAAAAATATATTATTTTTCATAAACTTTATTATTCTGTTATAAACTCATCTTATGTATTGTTTTTTCTTGTTTCCTTGTTATACGAAAAATTGTACAAATTTATTTAAATCCAATAATCACACTGTTTGTTTTTTATTGTGAATATTGGAAAAACTACCTGAAAAGCTGTCGCAATGAAAGAAAGAAACCAGGATCAAAGAAAAGAGTTATATTCATTTTATCGATTTAACCAATACAGTTTCTAATAATCTTAAGAGCATGACACGTTGACATCACATTTTATTCTACTCCCATCCTGCACTCAAGTAAGTTAATATTTTATTATAATATACGATTTTATTAATAAAATAAGTTCCAAATGGTTGTTTTATGAACAGTGGTCCAAAATAGCTTTTCCTAATCTTAAATCACACTGACACTCTTATTTAACATATACTTCTTTCTCATCTTTCAATTATTGTTTTGTTGTAACACTTTTTTTATACATACAATTTTTCTAAAGGAAACCGTGTGATTNTTGCATTGAAGAATTATCTTCCTCAAAATGTGTATCTAAACTCGACTAAATTAACATATATATGTGAATCAAGGAAAAGAATTAAAGGATAAATCCAAAAAACAAAATTAGATATTTGAAGAGATACATATTTGAAGTCTGATGAGGTACCCTTCACATGATTTTACATTGTGCAGGTTAATACATGCATGCTTACCCCAATATCAAACAGGTTAATTAATTTGCTGTGCAGTAGCATATTTTTAAAATAAACAGAAATTAGTTGACATAAAAACATATGCCAGGAAAAGTAAATACTGAAGACCACTTGGCACTGGCGAAGAACATGTCATGTATTGGAAAACGACAGGTGAAATGGTTAAGAGAAAAGGATAAACAGCATGCAATGCAATGCAATGCAATGGAAGCTTTGAGTGAGTTGAGTGAAGTGGAGAAGCATGAAGCATAGGAGTTACTAGCTAGGCTTCTGAATCCACCTCGAAAGGCGTTCCCAGAGATAAATGGGTTGAGTTCATAATTCCAGATACCCTCCTACACTCATTGTTTCAGATTCACTTTCCCTTTCCTTTTCCACTGTTTTTCCTTTTCTTTCCATTAACTCTATCTTTCCACGAACAAATATAAAGCATATCTCTTACTCTATATATACTTGGGACCACTATCCCCACGCTCTTATCTCCTTCATCATCTCTGCCTTCAATTCGCCACTGTGGGAGAGGACTAATTAACCCTAAATTTTATCTCCCATTGTTCTTCTGACCACTCTCATGTGACAGTGGGGCTACCAATCCCTCCCTTTATTATCTCACTAACTGCTAAAATATAATTATATTCATATTCAACCCAAACAACACCAACCTACATTTCAGTAAAAAGGATCCATCCATGGCATATTTCAAGCAAGGGTTCATGCACCTTGCACCAGCATTCAACCATTATATCCTCCATCCCAGCCCTACCCCAATGCCTGTGGTCCCTCACCTTCTCATCGTCAACCATTGATCTTAAATGCTCCCAGCTTTGACAATTCTCAAAGATAAACATCAACGGTGCTCCACAAATCAACCCTTATTCCTATACCCAGCCCCACACGTCATGGGCGGTCTCCAATTAATAAAAATGTCAAGTCCATCATAGATTTTCTTCCCTTTCCATTCTTAGATAAATTTAAAAACACATTGCTCTCAACTTGCTATAAAAAGCCCTTCCATTACCTGCTGCATTGGTCGGTTAGAGAGATAATAATCCTGCACCACTTTCTGCAATCTCTGCACTCTTTTATATTATTCTCTATCTCTCTTCTGCAAAGTGCAAACCCTACTTACTTTCAAATCTCCTTCTTCTCTCCCTTCCCATACTCTGCTCCCAACTTTTCTCCCTTTCTTCCATTCCTCCGTGTCTCTCGCAGTTTCAAACTCATGGACGTGGACATACTCAAAACTTCCACGAGTGATACCAGCATGGACATGATCATGATGATGCAAATGGAAAAGTTCCCGGAGTTATGTGAGCCTTTTTATAACAACACCACTCCTCTCTACCCAGAAAACGAGTTCTTAAACTCCACCACCACCACACTGCCTGTGTTCTCCAACGTTAACCCAAACGTTATAACTCCACCCCCCACTTTGATCAATCCACCGCCACCACCTTCCTCTAATTTTGTTCTCCAACAACCCATGACACCTCCTCTACAACCCAACCCTTCGTTCTCGGAGAAGAAGAATTCCGTGGCGGCCATGAGGGAGATGATTTTCCGCGTAGCGGTGATGCAACCTATTCATATAGACCCTGAATCTATCAAGCCTCCCAAGAGAAGGAACGTGAAGATTTCGAAGGATCCGCAGAGTGTGGCAGCGAGGCACAGAAGGGAAAGGATTAGCGAGCGAATAAGGATCCTTCAGAGATTAGTCCCTGGTGGGACCAAAATGGACACGGCTTCTATGTTGGACGAAGCCATACACTACGTAAAGTTCTTGAAGAAACAAGTCCAGACGCTGGAACAAGCCGGAGCAAGTAGACCCTTGAGCGTTTTTGGCTTTCCTAGTACTGTGTCCAATGCCAATAATAACGTTAATTATTCCTCCTTCATGAAGAGTTGCCAACCGTGTCATATGCTGGGTTCTGCAGCTTCTAAACACATGCTGAGTTGAGTTGAGTTGAGTTCAGAAGAACCGTTTGCTTCATACATGCATGAAAAATGAAAATCAATGAATTATATATGAGCTGTATATTGATCTTCATCATAGTTTTTTTTGTCATCGATGGTGCATGGGTTATAAAGACAGTCTTCGCCAGTGTAATTGTCGTTGTTTTAAGAATTTCTTTTTCTCTTTTCATACCTAAACTGGGAAAGCAATCAATAAAACTGATATGAATGAATATCATTTTCTTCATCTTTGTTCTTTTTTGTATTTTTATCTCCTTAATTAATTTCGTTTATATCTAACGAGAACGAATGTCAGAAAAATGTTTGAATAATTTCAAGCAAATCTTGTGAATGATCTAGACTCTTTCAGCAATCACTGAAATATATAATATAATAAAATGTAAATATATAAAACAAAAGTTTGACCGATCTTGTTTTGGTCTTCTAAATGCCCAACTCTAATGGGCCATTTTCGGTTTTTCGGCCATCCGTGTGTATTTTATGAGGGATCACATGCAATGGCATATGGAGGTTTACTTTAACCATAGACACTCCAATACACGGCGCAACCAGCGTGCATGCATGCATAATTATTGTTTATTTCTCATAGTAATTACAAAAATATATTATTTTTCATAAACTTTATTATTCTGTTATAAACTCATCTTATGTATTGTTTTTTCTTGTTTCCTTGTTATACGAAAAATTGTACAAATTTATTTAAATCCAATAATCACACTGTTTGTTTTTTATTGTGAATATTGGAAAAACTACCTGAAAAGCTGTCGCAATGAAAGAAAGAAACCAGGATCAAAGAAAAGAGTTATATTCATTTTATCGATTTAACCAATACAGTTTCTAATAATCTTAAGAGCATGACACGTTGACATCACATTTTATTCTACTCCCATCCTGCACTCAAGTAAGTTAATATTTTATTATAATATACGATTTTATTAATAAAATAAGTTCCAAATGGTTGTTTTATGAACAGTGGTCCAAAATAGCTTTTCCTAATCTTAAATCACACTGACACTCTTATTTAACATATACTTCTTTCTCATCTTTCAATTATTGTTTTGTTGTAACACTTTTTTTATACATACAATTTTTCTAAAGGAAACCGTGTGATTTCTTTTAGATGTCTCGAGAAAAATTACAATTATGGGTGGCAATAACTGATTCAGGATTAAAATACTGTTGTTGGAATGAAATTTTGATTCCCAATCATGGGTGGAAAGAATATTTAAAGGCTGTGAATATTTTATTATATTACTTAGAATTGAACTTAAAGATAATTTATGAATATACTTTTGTTCTTAATCCAGTAAAACATTGTTTTAATAACAAATTGTTAAGTTCATGCGACTTAAGGTAACCTATTTTTGGTTGGAACCTTAGTTAAGATTACTAATGATATATTACTTTATCCATCAAAAGAGATAATAAGAGACAAGGAATGTCAGATAGTGAAGTACATTTTATCGAAAGAAAAAAAAAGTAAAAGTTTACAGATTTAGAGTAAGTAAAATATTTAGATATATCTAATAAAAATTTGAAACATGTGCATATCCGAGTTTACATTTAATGAAAAGTCTTTTTTCATTAAAAAAATATGCCCTAATAACATTTGAAGACTTAATACGTATATTATATAGATATGAACAGACTTTCATGGAAGAGCTAATAATTTCTCTAGACCTAATCATCCATTTGAGGCATTCTAGAAGAGGAAAGGGCCCCTGAGGTTAAACGAAGTAGGTTGCCCCCCACGGCAAGGTCGAATAATTTGGTTGTTCGTGTCTCAAGGATCATGCTTCACAAATGTCTCATTTATTTTTTCTTACCCTATATATGCTATCAGAGTGTGCATTAGAAAAGAAAAAGAAAGTGAAAGAAAAGAAGGTGAGAAAAATATGGAGAGGTGAGTAGAGAAAATGAGGCCATGTGAAATAGACTAATAGGGTCCCATGGAGGCAATGAGATAGGGTTTTTAATTATTATTTTTGTTATGTGTTGGTGAATATGAACTAAAGCACCAGGGGGCACCTTGCTATCAGCATATGCATTATCTCTGCACCTTCCCACCTTCTCTATAGTGCATTGTATCCTCCTCTGACACATTCCTTATCGTATTCTTTCATCTTTTCTTTCACTTTTCATTTCTTTTTTATACACCATTCTCCATATTTCATTTTATTAATATTTTAAACACTTAATCAATAATTCTTTCACAAACTTACACTAGCCCTATCTCTAATTCACCTGCAGATATTGTCCTAGATCGATGGAAAATCAGATAAGCTTCCTTCATCATTTCTCATATCTACACCGACATTGCACTGAAGTCGATATATATATATATATATGTGTGTGTGTGTGTGTACGTTCTTGTATTTATTGGTCAATAAACACGTAACAGAAGGAAAAGAAGAAGAACAGAAAAGGCCAGTGAGAATACATTCAAAATTTGTAGCAAACTGAGGTGAATAATGGTGAAAAATGCAAGGAAATTTCAGAGACAGGGACTGCAGCATTTATTTCCTTATCTACCTATCTATCCATTTGTATATTACAATATTATATTCTATATGACAGCGACCAGTTGTTGAACTTCGTAATGGTATGCTTAAGTGATAGAATGGCTGGGAAATATTATTAAAATTACCTTGTTACTCATATATTAAATTCAAAAATATATTTTAATAAGAATACATAATTGAAATTGTTTTAAAAGCTTTGCGTTATATTGATGTTCTTTATCAGGTTATATATATGTATATATATTTGACCTAATTAACTGCGCAGATGTAATTGAGATGTCACGAGCATGATAATGGATGGAGTAACAGGTGTTGGTGAAAAAGTACATGGAGGAGGTGATAGAGAATAAGAAAGAATAAATGATCGAGGAACAATGATTGAATTCCCATGTATTAATTATGAGAGACCAGAAATATCAGAATATATACCAGCTATGTTTTTACTTTAAAAACTACAAGCTTTGGGTATAACTTTTACTTACATATCACCTGAATAATTTTTTCTTATAAAAAAATACTTTTATCTCCATCTTAGTCTCTTAAATCCAAAAAATACTTTTCTGGTGCAATTATTATATTTTTTGACAGATTATTTGAAGAATTTATGAGGATGATCATATATCTTTTAAGGAAAAGTGGGATTTAGACATTATTTTACTATGATTAAGACATTGAATTTGACGAAATAGCAAGTTGTCAGGGAAAACAAGAAAAATGATTCTGGACATAGATTTGAAAATTTTTCTGAATAAAGAGATCTAGGGCAAGTATACAGTGAAATAAAATAGAAACAAAATTCGGATTTGATTGAGTCTGGGTGGCGTAGAGAAAATGTTGACTTCATAGATTATATTTGAATAATTTTCTTTTTTTCTCACTTTCTCCAATTAATATTTTGTTCTTCCTTTCTTTTTATTTGTTTATCATGGTGTCTCTCTTCTATAAGGCTTTGTTTACTTGAATAAATTTGGAGAGAGTGAATGAATGAATTTGAGAGAATTTGAAGGTAAATCTTTTTTATTTATTTAAGTGGATTTGGAGGTAATTGAGGGTGGATTTGAAAGTAAAGTTTGTAAAAATTAGTGTAGAATTTGATTGATGTGACAGTTTAAAAAAATTTACTTCCAAATCCAGTCTCACTTTACTCCAAATCCACTCAAATAAACAATAAAAAATTTATCTTTAAATCTTTTCAAATTCATTCAATCCCTTTCTCCCAAATCTATTCAAGTGAAAGTGTAAAAAATCAGTGATGCCAAATTATATAAAAGAGAGTTAAAATTTTAATATTTATTTTCGTGTTTAGCTTTATATATCGCGTTAGTTTGGATTTCCAAATTATGTATTTAAAATGCTTAAATCTGTAAATTTATTTTTGTCTTGCTTAATTTAAGTGGAAAGTGTCTTTTAATTGAGAAGTGTATGAAAAAGTCACTATCAGAGAAAAAAATATTAATATATTCATTGGAATAAATTGTGATTTATGTTTGGTTCGTGATCTTTTATTTTGAACGAGTTTGTCAATTGGTTTATGGTTAGATAAATAAGTTTTATATCTTTAGGTTCTTTTGTTGTTGTTCTTTAAATTTTAGAGTATTATTATTTTGGTACTGATTGTAAATATTTGTTTGTGTTTTTAATTTGACTTGTTTATACACATTTTATTTTAAAAGAGTTTGATTGACTTATACACACAATTTTTACTTATTACATAGAGAAAACTTTTTCATGTAAAAAATATGGTGTTTTCTTTTGTCCTGGTTCCTTCTCCTCAATTGCAAGTTTGAAAAAATTATTCTTGATATTTTTTGTTATTATGTTGTTATTTCTTACAAATTTGGAGGAATTATTTTTTATACTTTTAATTTTTGTGTTGTTGTTTTTCATAGTATCCAGATCAAATAAATTTGTGAAACTACACATTAATTTTTTTCACAAATTTAATTTACATATTTTAAAATAATTTATATACTAAAAGAAACACATATATAACAACAAAACAAAAAAAGATTTTTTTTGCCGTGTATTGCTAGTGAAACCAATTCTTAACTTTTTCACAGATTTTTATATTTATATGCGTGTTTAGTTTTATAGTGTTAATTTAGGCTTTCAATTATGTGTATAAAATATTTAAATTAATTAAGTTTATTTTGTCCCATTTATTTAAATGGAAATGGTCTTTTAAGTGAGTGGGGGAGTGAAAAAATTTGTTGTTTTAAAAGACAAAAAAAAAACTCAATCTCAATAAAAGTGTGATTCTCATCTCATTTGTCATTGGATCAAACTGTAATTTGACAATAGTTTTGTTGGTTTCTTCATT